TAAATATTTAAAAGAAATAGTAATATTTAGAGCACAATGTTCTTAACCTTGAGGTCGTGGGATCGAGTCCCACGGAGGGTATTTCATAATTCGAAGGTCTCTTACGGAAGTTACTCTCAACCTGGTGTTGGGGGTAATCTACTATCTTACTTCCCCCTTACTCCATACATATGGGAAAAAAGGACAACCATTTTGCTTTAAAAAAAGAATCTTATTCAAGTTTCAACATTATTCCATCGAGGTGGAGAGAAACGAACCCGTTGACATTAATGCTATACCATTTGCAATATTAGTATCTTAAATCTGATGAAGGGATGGTGTGAATAATGAATCCAAAACAGTCGCTATCTAATCACATGACTACCCTTCAGTTTGGTCGGCTGTTTAATCGGTTCCTAAAAATTAAAAAAAAAGGTAAATTACACATTTAATATCTAAATTATTAATTTTGGTTTGTTTTAATATTTAGACTTTTAATTTTTTCATAATTATTTCTAACATTTAGTTTTTGTTTCATTTTAGTATTTCGCCGTTAAAAACTTAACACTTTTAGCACCTAAACTTTCAATTTTTTCCATAAACCCAAAGTTAAATTCTGAACGTGATATTAAAATGAAACAAAAACTAAACTTTAGATATGATTTTGAAAAAAATTAAAAGTTTAAGTACTAAAACAAATCAAAACTGATAGTTTATGAATTAAACACGTAATTTACCATAATTAAAGTGGGAAAAAATTGCCGCAATGCTCCATTAATTAGCAATAAAATGAAAACTGTGAGTTGGAGCTTTCAATTTCCATTGAAGACAAATAGAAATGGGATCAACGATCTCAACCCACTTTGGTTAATTAACCCTGATATGAAATTATCAGCTCCTTGAAGGTAGGGATGGCAAACGGGCGGGTCGAGTGCAGATACCTCATCCCCATCTCCATACCCACCTAATATTTTTTAATCCACCACCCGCCCACCACCCATGATGGGTATAAATTTTCAAATCCACACCCGCCCACGCGGGTACATTCTCAAATCCATCCCCACATCCACTAGCGACGTACCCGTCTAGACCCGCTTGACATCAAACTTAAGTTATACATAAGCAACAAACATAAAAAAAACATGTCCATTAATAAACATAATAAAATAATCCAAGGATTATCTAAGTTAAGTGTTAATATAGATCTTAAAATACATAAAACACCATAATAAAGGACATAATTAAAATCTATAAACATAAATGACAAACATATAATGTTTTTGTTCTTTGGCACAACATTCTAAAATTTCAGGTAATATTTATGACATATAATACTCCAGTATTACAATCATCATTCTCTATTTTCTCCAACTGAGAGCACTCTAATTTAAATTCACTACTACCTACATATATAATAAAAAGTAAAACTAATATAAGTTAGTAACTAAACTTTAATAAGATAATTAAGCACAATTTGACAACTAATATAAACTAAATAATAATATTACCTTTAATATCGGCCCAAAGTCAATTTTGAGCATACATTAATGCTTCAATCGTCTCCGGAAATAGTCGACTACAATAAGAACCAATTACTCTTCCACCTATACTGAATACAGATTTTGATGGGACAATGGAGACAGGAATGCCCAAAATATCCTTTGCTATTTGTTGGAGAGTTGGATAAATTACATGTTATATCTTATACAATATTAGAATTTATAAATTAGTCTCTAAAATTACAACTAAATTCATAATGGTCCAAAATTTAATGGATATTTAGCTGGGCGGGCGGATGTGGGGTGGGCAGATGCGGGGCGGGTAATGTCTCAAACCCATTACCCCGCCCACCACCCGCGACGGGTACCACTTTCTAAATCTATATCCGCCCACTACCCGCTAAAATTATACCCATCCCGCCTCAATTAGAGCGGATGTAATGCAGAATCCACGAAACTGTACCCGTTTACCCTCCGAACTTTAAGGGATTGAGAACATGCATACACGAATGCTAGATTCGAAGCGATAAGCTGCCCTTCGCATGGAATTTCCCCTTGAGGTGGCCCACTCCCGTGATGGATTAGCTTTAGCTTAATTATTTATTTGTTAATTTGGACACTTGGTTTGTATGAAAAAGGGCTTTGATTAAAATAATGTCTCAAGCAGTAGCATTAAAGTATTAGTGTTTGCGTTTGGACCAAACTTAAATTAGCAGGGTACCGATGAAGATGATAGAATTAATATGGACTTTTGATGGAATTATCATAAATTCCAAACTTAAATTAGTAGCTCTATGTAAAGGATTTTGGGTTTTGATTTCTTTCTCCGCGATAATTATTTATTTCTTTGTCACCTTTTAATTGAGTAAGATTATGGAAAATGATAATAGATTATTGATTAAAGAGGCGGGGAAGTACTGTAGATCAAAATAAAATTGTAATATTAATTATACTGTTATAAATAATAATAAATTGATAATTAATTCAATTTATAACAATAATAAATTAGTGATTAATAATACGATAATATTTTAGGGTTTGGGTTACTAAAAGAGGAGCCCCCGACATAAAGATGAGCGCCAAGATTGTAGACAAAGACAGTGGCGGACTGCCTGGCCAAGGAGAGAAGAAGACAGGCAGAGGCAGATAGATAGATAGATATCACCAATCCATTCATTCATTCATTCCTAGAAACGCGAGTCCTCCTTGCAACACGCCCCGACTATTCTGATCCTTTTTCTTTTCTCATCTGTGGCTCCCACTCCAATTTCCCATGACCCACATGCACCATTAATGCCCTCCATTCTTTTAATATCCCCGCATATTATATCTAATTTTCAAACCGAACTCTAATTCATTTAATTAATAAATTAAATGAATTATTGTTATTAAAAGGCACAGGTATTAACGATTATAATAAAATAATTGAATATTTTTTTTGTCAAATGATTGAAAATTTTAAAATAAATATTACTTTACCATAGCTGCTTAATAAAGAAAAAGGTAAACCAAACTCTTCGTTAATTTTCATTTATAAAATATGAATTTAACATGGTATAAAATATAGATTCAAATTGAATTCGAGAGCTAAATTTTACCAATCTCCTCCCTCTTTCGTTCCACGTTTCTTTTGACCGACTCTCAGCTCAGATCACTCCTTTCGGCACCATGCAAAGCAAAACCCACATTTCGTAACGCTTACCTTCTTTCAGTTTCCAACCAGAAATAATACTACATCTTTCAAACACATATTCTCGCCTTCTCCAATTATTAAAATACTCAGCACAGTACTAAATAAGCATTCCAATAAAGTTTAACCTTAATTCATTTGTAATGATCAAGGTCACACATATGATTTTGGTGGGTGAATTTTACATCGATGATTTTTTGTATATACAAAAATTTAAACATAAGCATGAGACTTGCTTAAATGATATCAAACTGATTATCGGCTTAACCTACCTATGTATAAAATCACCTAAAGCTTATTTATGAAACCAACTTGTAAACTGTTAGTTTAGTGCTTGGACGACGAAACAAACAATAAGAATCCTATGAAAGAGACCCCTTACGAAGAACAAACATTCCGTGTGTGTGTGTATATATATATATATTGCTTTATATTGAATCCTAGTATAAAAGGGTGACAAATGGGAGCAGTCTTGTCATCTTCAACGAACTTGTTTCATGTAACAGAAAGTAGGTTACTTTTTGGTCCACCTGAAGATAGACTCAGGATTTGTACTAGTTAAAGAGAGTGAAACGAAGGGAAGAAGTTGTAGAGAAAGTAACTAAGGAACAGTATGATCAAAGAGTGCAGGCTTTTAAATCCGGAGACATTTAGGAGAAAGAGAGAAAAAGAAGAGGGGAGAACGTGGGGTGTTTATGGGTCCAATGGTGGGGACTGTAGAGAGACAAACAAGAAAAGAGAGCGAAAAAAGGGAGGTCCTACACACCTCCCATGCGCATGTTGGCTTACCACACAAAGTAAGTAATGGTTTAAATTGTTAAATTATTTTATTTTTTATGACAAATTAATACTAATATAATATTATTAACCGAAATTGATTTAAGTAGTAAGAAATTTGATATATTTTAAATAATGTTTCGAGTTCTAATATTTGTGTATGTAAAAAATTTCTGTTGGGAGACTCACCCACCAAAGTCAAGAGTACGACACGAGTCAATCCGAATTAATCAATGCAAAACTTTAGAATCGACATGGAAACCAAGAAGATACTACTATAATATTAAAATATAAAATTAAATTTTAACTCTTAAAATAATATAAATATTATCATATATTTATATCAAAAAACTGATTATTAAGATTGAGTACAATTCGATTGGATTTAAAATAAAAAATAAATTTGGATTAATTTAATTAAATTTTTAGAGTTGTTTAGATTTTTAAACCAGTTTGAATACAATTATTTTAAATATTTAAAATTTTATTAATAATTAATATAGATATCCTTGAGTCCTTATAAATTTTAAAATAAAATTGTTTTTTTAGAAAATTTTAAAAATAAAAAATCCATAAATTTGTAAATATAAATAAATAATTATAAAATTATATAATGTCCATTAAAAGTTTTAAAAAAAATTATAAAAAAAATATCAAATAAATTAAATTATATAATAATTAACTATTAGTTATTTGAAATTTTATTAGGTTTAAATATTAAAATAATAATTATCAAAATTAATTTATTATATCATATTATTTTTAAATTTTCTTTGAAAGAAGGTTGTGTGTATATAGTATATACTCTCTAAAATTTTAATTTATTTTATTTTTAATTTAAAATTAATATATTTAGTTTTAATTGATTTGAATTTTATAATAACTTGACTAAAAACGTTAAAATAAATTTGGATGGTAAGGTAAGAATTAACACAAAAATTTTAACTTGATTCCACAATATAATCACCCTAGTCCCTCTTATCATCGTTGATGGAATGCCTTGACCTGACCTAACCCTAACCCTAACCCTAACCCAACAACAACACTATTAGCTACAAGGCACAAACAATTCATCCACAAACCCATAAACCACCTCTCTGTCTCTCTCTGTGTCTCACATTTTTGCCTATTTTCTTTAACTCTACCCCAACACTGCTGATTCTCATTTCCTCCCAAACCCTCAACCAAAAACTTAGATCTTCATACAAGAGAGCCCAGAAGTATCTAACAAAAAAACCATCTCAGACTCACATGAAGAGTGCAGAAAAGAGGCATGGCTTGACTTGATTCAGCTGTTTCACCTGAAAATCTGCTGCCAGATGCTTCAAACCCTTTTCTGTTGAAACCAGCAGTTACACGATCAGTCAAAGATACCGTCCCCCAAATCAAGAACCCAAATCAAGAACCCTATTATCGTTTCTCTTATCTGATCAGTTGGTTCTTTGTTGCATGTGCTATCTACTTGTTTAATTAGGTTTGAAATTTGAAGGGAAGAAAACAAATGGACCCAGTAACAGGTCATGGCCGCCCACTTCCTCCTTTCCTCACAAGAGATCTTCATCTAAACCCGCAACATCAGTTTCAACACCACCAACAACAACAGCAACAAAGCTCCGAGGACGAACAAAACCGTGGCAAAAAACGAGATCGAGAAGAAACGGCCAACACCATGGGAGGCGGAGGCACTTCCGGTACAGACACCAGTGAAGGCAAAGAACCATCTATAGTCCCCGGTGCTGAAGGTGAAATCACGAGGAGACCACGAGGCAGACCAGCGGGTTCCAAGAACAAGCCTAAGCCACCTATCATCATAACTCGTGACAGTGCCAATGCTCTCCGATCTCACGTTATGGAAATCGCCGACTGCTGTGATGTTATGGAAAGCGTTTCGAATTTCGCCAGGCGAAGACAAAGAGGGGTTAGCATTTTGAGTGGGAGCGGAACTGTAACGAATGTGACCTTGCGCCAACCTGGTGCTCCTGGTGCAGTCGTGACTTTACATGGAAGATTCGAAATTTTATCTCTTTCTGGGTCGTTTTTACCCCCTCCGGCACCGCCGGCTGCGTCGGGGTTAACCATATATTTAGCCGGTGGTCAAGGACAGGTGGTTGGAGGAACCGTGGTGGGTCCACTTGTTGCTTCAGGTCCAGTGGTGATTATGGCGGCTTCTTTTGGTAATGCGGCGTATGAAAGGCTTCCATTGGAAGAAGAGGAGCCACCGGCGGCGCCGGTTCCTGGAAGTGGACCCTTAGGCTCACCGGGAAGCATGGCTAGTGAACAACAGCAGCCGGCGCCGCCCCAGCAGCAACAACTATTGCAAGATCCGAACGGATCTTTCGGCCAAGGATTGCCACCAAATCTTCTGAACTCAGTCCAATTACCCGCTGAGGCCTACTGGGCCACAGGTCGTCCCTCTTATTAACAAACAGGAATGTTTCCTCCTTCTCCCCCCCCCCCTCGTATCACTTCTCTTGTTTGTTTGACCTGTTGATCGCCTTCATTCTTCTTCTTTGATAAGTCGGTGTTTTAATATGCTGATCATCATGGGATTCATCTGGGTTTAATTTGAAGAAGGATGTACAAATTTAATGGATTTCTCTTTGGTGGGTTTTTTTAGTACTAGTATTTTACAATTTTAGTTTATTTTCTTTCAGTTGTCACTCATTACAGTAGCTTAACGAAGAAGAAGCACCAGAAGGTGGCGGCCATTTCATTTCTGTCACCATTTCTTTTCCAAGTTGCCTGAGAATTGTTCTTACGACAAATTAAAAAGGTGAAAAAAGCAACCTTTTTGTTAGGGTTCCTTTTTTTCAGCACGATACCTCCGAGATCAAATTCTTAAAAAATGCTACTATTAAATCTTTTTTTCCCTCTAAAAAAGATGGTCTTGATTCATAGAGATGGATGGGTTCGTGGTTTCTTTAAAATAATAATAAAAATGTATATTTTTATTGGTTTGCATTTGAGCTACATAGTAGTAATGTAGTTTTTTTCTTGTTTGCTTAGCAGCTACCTTCTTACACTATAAGCACAAACTAAACTTCTACCGTATTTTCATTATAATTTGATGCAAGGAATAAATATGAACATAAATTAGTATATAACTATTGCATGAATATATGTGTATATTGTTCATCTAATTTAGTGACAGTTTTAAGGTTGGTCGGTGGGAAAGATGGCAAGTTCTGACTTGAGGAAAGCAGGGTGTTTGGCTTAGGGTTTGCTTCCTTTTTTTCACTATGAATTTTTTTTTATGACTTGATAGGGTTCATCATAGAATCAAAGATGAACATTGGGTACTGGGTTACAAGTCCACAGCTCTTTAAGAAAAAGAATGAGAAAACTTATTTTCGAGTCAACAACAACAACAATTAGGACAAACTGATCTCAAGCGTTAAAGTCATCTCTCTCTACCCCCCCCCTTTTGTCTGAAGAAAAAATTGTCATTGACTGCCATACATAGACAAGTATAAGAGTTTGTGTGTGAACCAGTAAGGGAAGAAGGTAAGTTTCTACAAATATTATATATAAAAAGTTTGTGATGGATGTATGTGTTCTTCTTTCTTAAATTAAGTTTTAATATATATATATATATATATATATATTTTTTCTCATTTCTACTCATAATCTCATTGTATCACCGTCTTTTTCGTAGGCCCTCTTCGGTACCATGTATACTATATATTCACTCTTGTGATAATTAAAGGAATTTAAATAGATGGATCACATATAAATAATTGAGGGTTTCGTCTTAATCTTTCTTTATCATAGTCGATACAAACTCTACATTGCTTATGTCTATACATACTTATTTAGTGTATATATATATATATATATATATATATATAATTATTTAGTATATTATTCTGTAACCATCACTAATAAACTCTAAACTTATTCACAACTTGGTGTTGGATAACTTTTTGACATCTTGAATCGTAATGCTACATTTTGAGGCTATTTCACTCGCTCTCCCATTTTACTAAATATTATTGTTGTTGAGTTTAGTTTATAATTTGTTTCAATATTCTTTTATATCGTTTCTCGACACATCTATCTTCATGTGTTTGCAACTGTCATAGATATATTTGGGATGACAAACGGACGGGACGAGTACAGATATACCCCTTCCTCCATCTTTATATCCTCCTAATATTTTTTATCCATTACTTATCACTACTAGGGATGGGCATGGGACTTGACCAGACCCAATCGGGTTGGGTTTTTTTATAAAAAAATTCGGGGCCAGATCGGTTTGATTTTTTAAAGTTGATGTTTGGGTCGAGTCGAGTTTAGGTTTAGAGTGAAAAATACCCGGTTTGGCCCAAAAAATATAATTTTACTTTATATATTTAGGTATAATTACAAAAATATCCCTCTATATATTATTATTTTTAATTAAATCAATGTTTTTATGGAATAAAAATAATATTTTTATTATTTTGGGTTGGGTCGGGTTGGTGAAGGGTATATATTTTTTGTGTTGGGTAGGGTCAGGTTGGTCGAAACCCGACCCATGCCCATCCCTAATCACTACCCACAATAGGTAAAATTTTTAAATCTACACATGCTCATTCGGGTATATTCTCAAATCTACCACACACCCACTACCCAATTGGAAATCCACCATCCATTCGTACCCGTCTGTACGCCACTTATATCCATCCATATAACACCCTCACAAATTACATAAGCAACAAAATATAAAACAAACACAACCATTAATAAGCATAATAAAATAAACCAAAGATTAGTAAAGTTTATGTCATAACATTTGGTTAAATTGTAAATCATGTCCTATAAAATCTTAAGATTTATAGAATAACTTCTGAAATTATACCTAAATCCACAATTATCTAAAATTTATATGATGGGTAATTAGTGGGTAGGTAGATGCGGGGTGGAAAAATGCGGAGTGGGTAGGGTGTTAAACCCATCACCTACCCACTACTTACGGCGGGTATGACTTTTTACATTCACACTCGCCTACTGTCCACTAAACTTATATGCATCCCTTAATTGAAGCGAGTGCGATACAAAATCTACAAAATTATACCCGTCTACCATCCATCTTCACGTTAGTCTTTCTCCATCTTTTGTAATAAAAATTGAGATTTATTCTTTATTATTAATTTGATGTAATATAATTTTATATTAAACCCATAATTTATTATAACTAAAATATTGTTGATTTTGAATCCATCAAGTGGTTTTAGTTGTTCGAGTATATGTATATGCATAACGTGTATTGTTAGATTATTCTCGACAAACTTTCAACAAATGAGAGGCTCGTAAGAAGTGGAATGGCGGTTGATGAGCATTGTGTATTATGTTATGATAATGTTGAGGATCATCTGTTTGATGGATGCAGATGAATATGCTTCATTTATTCTTTTGCTCAAAATCGAATATAATAAATCCATTTTGGGGTGAATTTTCAGTTGGAGTTTTGGTGAGTACAAGGTTTTTTGAACTAGTAATATAAATGAAAGTGTCACCCGAGTGCTCAACCCAGTTGGAGGTAATAATTTAGTGGGCCATATCTATGTCTAATGTGTTTGGGACAATGCCATTCTGGTTCTTCGTGATTAATTAACATCCTTCTACTGATTCTTTGAACTACACTTCAATGATTATCAATCCTACATAAAATTTTAAGATTCCATTATTTTTGCCTTTTTTGCCTTCTATCTCATAAATAATGGCCACTTGACTAGCTATTAACACACTCCCACCCTTTCTCTTAGATTTATATGTAAAATAATATATATTATATAAAGTCATAACCATAATACAATAACCATAAAAATATACTAGTTGAAAATATAATAATTTTATGGTTAATAATATTTGTGTATAAATATAAACTATATATTTGATTATTAATTTTGATTTTTGAGTAATTATGCGCATGAAAATTTAATTTTAAATAAATTATTTAAATTTATTTTGGATAAATATATTTTTAAGGAGGTACAAATATAAATCCAGTATTTTTTTATTAAGCTAAGGTGATTTCAAAGTAATAATTGTTCTAAATATACTCTCAACCATTTAATAATTGAAAATCGGTTCGGTTTATCGGTTTTTCAATGAAAAAATCACTTGAAACTATAATTTTTTTTTTAAAAAAAATTGCATATTCGGTTCAATATGGAACAAATGAGTTCCATATGGAAAACCCGAACCGAACCGAATCAAAAGAATGAAGACTTTAAACTGAACCAAAAACCAAACCGTATAATGCCAAACCGAATCGAACCGAACCATTTTAATCGGTTCGTGTCAGTTTTTCGGTTTTCTCGGTTTCGTTGCTCAACCCTAACTGCAGTCGATTGCCCTCAAACTCATGACCTCTAGAAACAACAATGATTCCTTTAACCACTAAGGTAAGTTGATTCGTGCATAGTATTAAACATTATAACAGAATTCATTGTAACATAACAAGTTTAAACTGAAATAAAACCTGGAAAAAAACTCAAATACTTAATATACATTAAGTGGGATTTGAGCTTAAACCTTAAATTTACATAGCCCAACCTTTTTTATCAGTCTCCTTAGTTGTATTAGATAAACATAATTATTTTGTATATAATATATAAATATAATATTAATATTAATAATAATAATTGGGCACAAATCAAGCTACCTCGGTGGTTAAAGAAATAATTATTATCTATAAATATCTTAGATTAGAGGACCAATGACTGAAGTATATTTGAGCATTCATTGTCAAATTATTGAGAATGTTTTGAACATATACTACCACTTGTAATTATCATAGATAATAAAAAAAATTATAGTTTATAAAAATTGATCAAATCAAAATTCTATACCTACAATACTATACTAAATTAAAATTTATATATCTTATTATACATTAAATTAAAATATTAGTGTAGTTTTCAGATTTTATTTCAAGAAAAATCATTACAAACCCAGTGCTCTGTTTGGGCTAGTTAGATCCATTTTTCTATTCTTTATTAGTTCTGTTTCAGACCAATTTGGACAGGATTCTCTTGTGTTTTATTCAGGCCCAATAACATTTTTTAAATAAATTTCTAATTTTTATTAAATTCGAGGATAACTAATTATAAAGCAATATCTTTCCAAAATTTCAAATATGATTCTAATATTTTTGGGACTTTTTGAATAATGACCTAGCCTTTTCTAATCTACTCAAATGAAGACCCTTATTTGAAAATATTTTTAACATAATAAGCTTTTTATTTGAGTACATTTAAAAATATTAGACCATAATTTAACTCTTTCAAAAGGTTAAGACCCTTATTTGAAAACAGTGGCGGATACAAAGCATCTTCAAGGTGGGCACGTGCTCATCCTAGAATCCGAGTTTCTTTATATTAGATGTTCGTTTTACTATAGGTGCTCACCCTGAAATTTTACTTGTGTCTATTCCATACGAAAAATTTTAATAATGTGTGTGTCCACTCTATAAAATATTTTTCTGGATTTGCCATTGTTTGAAAAGAAGCAAAAACATTAGGTCCTTATTTGATTTTGAACAATTTCTTTAAAATGCATTGCATTATATGATCTTTTAATATTTAAGTTTGGGATAATTTGAAAAAGTACCATTTACTCAAAAAAAAATTAGTTGATCATTTTTCTCATATGTAATGGGGTAAGGGGATGTATGATAATAGGTTGTCCCCAACGCCAGGTTAACTTCGTAGGAGACTCCGATTATGAAATTAGATTGATCTCACGACCTCAAGATTAAAAACCTTGTGCTCTACCAACTGAGCTATACGGACATTTTTAAAGGTTTAACTTGAATATTAAACCTTTTAAAAAAATTGAGAGAAAATAAAGTGGAGAGTAAAACGCCCATCCTGAACCAAAACCCTAAAAACTGCGTAAATTAAAGCCAGCCAGCCTCCTTTGCCTTCTTCTCCACTACTTGGCCTCTCCCACATACTTCACCACAATCATGCCACCTCATCACCGGTTTCTTGCGCCATGTCTCAGAACTATCACCGTCACCTGAGCTCCGTCGTCTTCCAAAGCCATCTCCGACCAACCATTTCAGCTACGACTATCACTACCATTTCAACCATCATAACCATTACCATTCATTGAGAAAAAAAAATCTTCAGCTCACTATACATTTTCAACTTTAAAGTTCAAATATTATAGTCTGTTAGTGAAGCCAAATTCTAGCGTTATTCTAGAATATCGTTTCGGACCGGGTTGAATCGGAGACTGTTTAGCTATTGTTTCGGTTGAAAGATGGCTATTTTGAAGAGCTATTGCGTGTGCTTGAGGGAATCTACGCCCAAGTTTCTCCGTCCCAATCTCTACGATAATTACAGGAGGTTTTGACGCTCTATATACGATAACATATTCTTTTGTTTTTTTAGTTTAATTTAATAGTCTATAAGAGTATAAGTTATTCAATTAATTTATTTTGACCAATTTGGTGGCTGATTTGGGTATTAACTGGAAACTCGTTAATGCTTCCAAGAACTAGATTTGGAATGACCTGTTTGCCTGTTTATGCATTTGTATTTTGTATTTGTTTTTTTTTTCTTGTTGTCGTTATCAATGTTAGCTCATGCTTGCTGTGTGTGAATCAGAAGCAAGGTTAGTCTCTAATTGCATATTGCATAATCCGCTCAACATCTTATTCGTTTGCTTTGTTTCAGAAGAAACGCAAAATGGAAATCTCCACAAGCAGCTGTTATTCCTTGTACCCATCTCCCAATGCGTAGTTTCGAGGTTAAAAACAGGTAACTAATGCCTTCGTATCAGTATCTGAATTTGATTGCGGTTTGAATTGGTAAAATTTCTTGTTTGTTATCAATCTTGGTTTTGCCCTCGTGTCTCTTTGTTAACTGTTCTGTTTCTTCTTATTGCTTCTGTAATGAATTTGCTTTGGATGTGTGGAGACCCTTTTCTGTTATTCACACCTTTATCAACAGGTTTAGTTTAATACTCTGAGTGCTTGAATCTCGCATAAGCGATTTATGCAAAGATAAAATAATCGATAAAGGTATAGTTGTAATGCATTTGCTTGGAGAATGTATATGATTTTCACTGTGATAAAATTGTGGTAAACGTTTAATTTGTTGGCCTCGTAATTTGGAAGACATGGTTTATCTGTCGCTGTATATTGTTGTCGAGAACTGATGCCGTTGATGGTTTATCTGTCGCTGTATATCTTGGCTGGTAATGAATGTTTCATTTGAAAGAACTGATGCTGTTGATGGTTTATCTGTCGCTGTATATCTTGGCTGGTAATGAATGTTTCATTTGAAAGAACTGATGCCGTTAATGATTCAATTGCCTTTTGATTTGCAGAACGTCACCAGAAGATATAAAATCTCTTCGATTGATAACAGTCATCAAAACCCCATATCTACCGGATGGAAGGTTTGATCTCGAAGCATATGATGACTTGGTGAACATGCAAATTGAAAACGGTGCTGAAGCTGTAATTGTTGGTGGTACAACTGGTGAGGGCCAGCTGATGAGCTGGGATGAGCACATAATGCTTATTGGTCATACAGTCAACTGTTTTGGTGGATCGGTTAAGGTAATTGGTAACACAGGAAGCAACTCAACCAGGGAAGCGATTCATGCCACCGAACAAGGTTTTGCTGTTGGAATGCATGCTGCCCTTCACATCAATCCTTACTATGGCAAAACATCAGTGGAGGGCTTGATTTCCCACTTCGACAGTGTGCTGCCGATGGGACCTACTATCATATACAATGTGCCATCGCGAACCGGCCAAGATATTCCGCCACATATCATCAACACTCTAGCTGAGTCTCCTAACTTGGCTGGAATTAAAGAATGCGTTGGAAATGACCGAATCGAGCAGTACACAGGCAATGGAATGGTAGTGTGGAGTGGGAATGATGATCAGTGTCATGATGCTAGGTGGAGCCATGGGGCTACCGGGGTGATTTCTGTTACAAGCAACCTGGTTCCTAGTTTATGCGAGAACTCATGTTTGGAGGTAAAAAACACTGCACTTAACGCAAAGCTCTTACCTCTTATCGAGTGGCTCTTTCAAGAGCCTAACCCTGTTGGCCTTAACACGGCCCTTGCACAACTCGGGGTTGTGAGGCCAGTTTTCAGGTTACCATATGTACCTCTTCCATTTGAAAAGAGGGTGGAATTTGTTAATCTGGTTAAGGAAATCGGGCGGGAGAATTTTGTGGGAAAAAAAGAAGTTCAAGTTCTTGATGATGATGACTTCATCTTGGTTGGGCGGTATTAGTTAGTCATTTGTAGATGTTCAGAGAACTATGGAGTCTAGTATGGATATCGAGTCTCAATTTCGAGTTTCATCTTCAAAAATTACAAATAAAGTTGCCTACTTGCAGGTTGTAAATGGAACAAGTTGGAACTAATGGCTTTTTGTTTTAATTTATGTTTGTTGTATGTTCAATTCCAACTGTTCTTGTTTATTCATTTAAAGTCTTGTTGATCAACGGATATTTCTAAAGGCGAAAGAGGTGTTTGTTGACAAATGAAAATTTATTAATGAATTATAAATTAACGAGTTTAAACAAATAAACCATAAATAGTCGTATTTTATTTTTAGATTTAAAATACTCAAAAATTAATTTATAAATAAATAAAACGAAAACTTAACGGTTGACTGTTACTCTTGTCAGTTATAATCTAAAAATCATTTAATAAGAAATATTTTGAAATGGATTAAATAGTAAATACTGTTTGAAAAAAATTGTCATTTCTTGACGAAGACCATTAAATCAGTCAAAAAGTTAAATCAGATGATGCAGAATATCTTACTTTTATACTATATAATTACAGTCCTGGATCCAGAGGAACACCAATTACAAACCCTTTTCCTCTAATATTTTTTTTAAAATGTTGGTAGTTTAACGTCTACAATTCGTGAAATCCTCCGTAGTCTGGACATGAACTTCACTACACTGCAACTTTGAAGTTCAAAACAATTGCTGAGGGAAGACTAGCCAGCGAGTGGGTTAGCATGTATTGTCACTCGGTTCAGCCTTATCTCTGCAAGTGGCCGATCGTCTGCTCCCGTTTGAGTCTGCATCAACAAAATAGCGTTCAGTCATGCTAAACAAGCAATTGCAGGTTGCAAGATGCAGCTGCAACCCAATACATTCCACAAACACACTCAGAACGCTGCACAGTTGAACTTATTTTCAGTGAGACTGAGATTGAAAGAGAGGAGATTTGGTTCCAGAAAACCATTCACTTCAGATTCATGTTGAATATCTTTCTTTAGGGTACTCAGCAATCAGCACTTTAAAAATAATCTAGAATTTCCCCTACCCTTTGAAATCCCCAAATCATATTTGGATATAAGGTAATCCAGCCTGGGATAGTACGATTTTTATAGCAAATTATATAAACATCAACACTGAAGGTCATTTGGACAAAGAAGAAAGGGTTTGCACAAGAACTAAATCCCAACGTAATTGTCTCCGAGGCATTCTAAATCGAAGTGAACTAAGTAGGGAGATATGACTATATGCTAGCACAATATACCTTTTCCATGATATCCAGGACTTCAAAACCATGGATAACCTTACCAAGCACAGTGTATAATCCATTGAGATGTGGCTGCTTTGCATATGTTATGAAGAACTGGCTCCCGTTAGTATTAGGACCACTATTAGCCATTGACAATATGCCCCTCGCATTATGCTGTAAGAAGGTAAACTTTTGTCAGGAAAAAAAGGCATGTGTAATGAGCAACTTAAAATGTGGCAAGGGTTAAAAGATTGTAACGTGTAACAGGACATTGGGACTAAGCTTTAGTTCCAATGATTTTCCAAGATAAAAGATGAAGGGTGGCAAGGTTATAGAAACCAAAATTTCAGACTCAAATGGTATGTCAGCTAAACAAAACTACATAATAAATAAAGCACAACCCAGCTCTGCAAGGTTCCGTTCACTCAGCAAGATTAAAACCTGGAGACTGGAATTCAAGCATAATGGAAAACCATAGGGCTTCTAAAAAAAAGCTAGCCCATCTTCAAACAAGAAAGAAGAGTTTTTTTTTTTCTCCTTCCCCACTCTTAATGGGTAAAAGTCGATGACAAAATTATCCAAAACCACTTTAAGAGATTGCATGAGCTAAATTCACGATGAAAAACTTTCTTGTTATACTAGCTATTAAGCTTAGCATACTTGAGGGATTCTCTAATCTCATCATTGAACTTCTTGCCCCATATACTTGTTCCCCCTTTCCCTGTTCCTGTTGGATCTCCACCTTGAATCATGAAACCTTTAATATTCCTGTGAAATATAGTCCCGTCATAATAACCACTAGCACAGAGGGCCAAAAGTTCTGCATCCAAACGAAAGACTGGTATATTTACATGGGAAATAGCAAAAAACAATTACTTTGTAAACATAAACAAATGCATTCACTAAAATAGATGCCTTAGAAAGTTATACCCATTAAGATGCAAAATTTCTCCACTGTAATGAAATTAAGCAAGACTGTATTTTACGCGTGCAAAGACACCAAAAGCCATACATAGAACCCATTAATACAGTGAAAGGAGACAATTTCCTTTCAATAATAAGGCAAATAATAACAGTTGTAACATACATATAATTTGTCACCAGTTTCCTAAAATTTTGGATTAGGGCAACAATTGGTACCAAAGAACATTCCCTTAAGCAAAATAGTAGCCCTAATCTATAGTTTATCATCTAATAATTTTATTTCTGAACAGCTTGCGGCAGCAGAACATTCAGCCAGTATTATTTTCAGATAAATAAAATCAGAGTACTGAAGAAGAAGAAGAAAGCGGAATATTTCAGGAAATCCTTACCTCCGCCGTTTAGCGACCTCGCAGAAGATCTCGCACTTGATGTCACCAAGATTTGTATGCAAAGTAACCGACTGCAATAGCAAGGAAAGAACAGATTAAATACTGTGTAACGCATTGTATGAACTCGATAGAATTACTCAAACGGAACTCGCCATGTTATGAATTGGCTCAGAAATCAGAATCGAAGAAAGAGGAGTTTCTTGTGCCGATCAAGCTTCTGGTTTCTTGTGATTGAAGGAACTAAGAGCCTTCGTCAGAGCTCAGACTTCAAGTCGCGGCTCCCGTCGGCCAACTCCCAACGCTTCCTTTATACGCAGGAATTGGGCCAGTGGTTCGTTCGCTGGATCTTACGTTGGATTCGGTACGGGGAGATTCCTTACGGACCTAAAATTAGAGAGTAGCGTTTCGATCAAATTGGCCCATTACGACAGTCGGACAAAAAATTTAGCCCTAAACATTTAATTTGGGATCTACGACAATTAAATAGTCATGGAAGTCAGCCGACGTGACTAGTTCTATGGGATATAATTTTTTTAATGGATCGTGTCAGGTGGATCCCATAATCTAATTAAAAAAATTCTTGACCAATAAAAATATATTTTTTATTTTGTAATTTTTTTTCAAAAATTAAAAAAACATATATTTTAATGCCATAAAACTCGTCACGCGGGAGAGGAAGTGGATTTAGCCAGTAATTACCAGTCATAAAACAAAGGGTGTTTTTTCTATTTTTTTTAAAAAAAAATTCTTTTTCTACCCCATACCATTATATCCATTTTGAATTATGATGATGTTATAATGCAACAAACGGATAAAAGGCAAATGTAAGCAGCTTGAAACGGATATGAATTCTAGACTCAGATTTAATTAGTTCTATTTTAAAATTTGATCCGATTTGAAATAAATATTAAATTATTTATATTCGTTATTAGACAATGAATTTGATCCTTATATTGCATGATTGTTTATACAAAACCTAAATTCAAATTATTATCTAAAAAGATATTTGTAAGTACAAAATACAAGATAGAAATAAAATAGATTCAAATATAAGTATTAAAATATTTAAATTTAACTCTTAATATTTAAAATTGTTCAAAGTCAAACTCAATGTTATAATAATGAATTGAGTTTTATTTTATTTTTCAAAACTACATCTAAATAATTTGTGTTTTGTTACATCCAAAAGAAAAAAGGTGAAAAGAAAAATAGCCCACGTAAGGCAATATTGCTTGACATGGAGTATTGGAGTTCATAACCGTTACACATCAAATCGGGCCACATGATATTTTCTTAATACATGCTCCAATTATCATTAAAAAACAATTTTACTTTTCAAAATTGCTAGAATAAAAATGGGTATGGACATTATAATTTAAAAAGTACATCATATGCATAAAATAATTTTTTTGTTTAATTTTTCATTTCCCATGATGATAGTGGGCAGTATAGAAGGAACCATAAAGCCTTGAGTGCCAAGTAAAGACTCATTTATGAAAAAAATAGATAAACTACCATGTATAAGTATAATTATCCACTTTTATGAAAGATATCGATACATTACAAATTTACTTTACAACCCAATAGTCGACAATAAACAAGTATATTAGTTAAAATCGGATTCGGTTCGCATAGCTAACTCTAACAAGTTTAAATGAAAAGGCTAGATTTATGCTACCCTTTTACAAGTTAGCATATACTTGCACGAAAAGAAAACTGCTTAAAAAAGAGAGAATTTGAGATATGATATAAATGCTCATACATATTAAATCCAGCAAAATGAGCCTGGTTGAAAAAATACGGTGGACCACCTCATACGAGGTTCAATATTCCGTCTAAATTGAACTTAAATCCAGAATGGAGAAAGGAGAGAAAAGATCATAGTGTATCTTCACAGGTTAACATACGTACAATTGTTAACTCTTTCCAATGGCCAAGGGATGAATTTAATGAAATACAAAGAAGAATCAAAAAATGTCAAGCTTTAATCAATCAAAGTTCACTCACTAAGGTTGCAGCTGCGTAGGTACGGATGATCATATTTGATGTATTTGGTCCAGTATGATCGATATTTGGTCATCGCCAACTCCAGCCATGGTTTCATGTTGCCATTGTAGTGGACAACTGCAGCACGTTCGATTTTTTTGTCTACGCTTGGATTGTAGCCCAGACCAAGTACATGCCATGACTTCTCGAGTGGATGCGTAAGACCGTAAAACGTAATCAGCCCAGGAGGGAGTGTTCCAAGCTTCCACAACGTTCTATCTTCATTCTGATAAACAGTTAAAATGAAGGAAAAAAAGAACTAACAAATTATACTTGGACCTTCTTTAATGTCAGCTAGAATGATATATGATGATTGGAAAACTGTAGGATTTGACTCATAACAATTATAGGCATGCATGAAGGAGAAAATAAGTAACATGAAATCCGACATATGGTCTTTCTAAGACTCACCATGTTTTGCCACTTGTGGTATAAGCCAGTGATATCCCTCTTTTTCCACTCCTTGAGATCAAACATATATTCCATATGCCCACCCGCAAGCATTAGGATCAAAGTTTCGTGAAATATGAGGATTTGAGAAGTTTAGGTACTTAT